AAATCCCGGATGAGCCCTTCCCTTTCCTTGCAGAGTCGCTCAGATCAACTACTCAATAAAGCAAGGTGGTACAAGGTGATTCCTGTTCACAAGGGCTTTCACACCATTTTGGACTCTTGCAGAATACATTTCAGTAAAGGTAATGGGAAAACCACAGCAGGGTCAAAATAAACACAGCCACCAGCCAATGATGGAAAGATTTGACCATTACAGGACAGCTCTCATTGACAATCAGCCAAATCTGGTAAACCTACTTAGACCCATGTCCAACATAAGTGTATGGGCATGGGCCTCTAGAGCTCGGTCGAGCCTGCCTGTATAGGTGCTCGTCTGATCTCTTTTTTGAGCTTGTCGTGGACATGGGACCATCTTTGAAGTTCTGCATCATGTGGCTCGTTGGTCTAGAGGTATGATTCTAGCTTCGGGTGTGAGAGGTCCCGGGTTCAAATCCCGGACGAGCCCTCTCCCTCGTCCAAAGATGTGGATACAGGACAACCGCTCCATACAGGAACATAGTACAAGGTGAAACTGTGTTCCCAAGGTTATTTCCTGCTATTACAACTCTTTACAGAATACATTTCAGTAAAGGTAAATCGGAAACTAAAACAGCGTCAAAAATAAACACCTGCCACCAGCCAATGATGAAAGACATGTCATACCAGATCTGGCTGAGTGAGAATCAGCCAGATCTGGTAAACCTACTTAGACCCAAGATAATTGGAGGAGCCTCTCCCTTTCCTTGCATAGTCGCTCAGATCAACTACTCAATAAAGCAAGGTAGTACTATGTGAATCCGTGGTCACAAGGGCATTACAGCTTTTTGAACTCTTAGCTTTTGCGAATCAGCCAAATCTGGTAAACCTACTTAGACCCATGTCCAAGAACATTTTGTGGGCGTCGCTTCCAGAGCTCTGTCCAGTGTTCAGAGACTACCTGTATAGGTGCTAGGCTGAGGTCTTCTTGAGCTTGTCATGGACATGTGACCATCTCAAAAAATCTGCATCTTCTGGCTCGTTGGTCTAGGGGTATGATTCTCGCTTAGGGTGCGAGAGGGTCCCGGGTTCAAATCCCGGACGAGCCCTTTCCCTTACCTTGCATAGTCGCTCTGTTCAACTACTCAATAAATCAAGGTAGTACTAGGTGAAACTGTGTTCAAAAGGGCAATTCCTACTTTTATAACTCTTAGCTTTTTGAGAATCAGCCAAATCTGGCAAACCTACTTAGACCCATGTCCAAGAAAATTTTGTGGGCGTCGTTTCCAGAGCTCTGTCCAGTTTTCAAGACTACCTGTATAGGTGCTAGGCTGAGCTCTTTTTGAGCTTGTCTTGGACATGTGACGATCTCTAAAAGACTGCATCTTCTGGCTCGTTGGTCTAGTGTTATGATTCTCGCTCTGGGTGCGAGAGGTCCCGGGTTCGAATCCCCGACGACCCCTCTACCTTTCCTTGCAAAGTCGCTCAGATCTACTACTCAATAACGCAAGGTGGTACAAGGTGAATTCCTGTTCACAAGGGCTTTCACACCTTTTTGGACTCTTGCAGAATACATTTCAGTAAAGGTAATGGAAAACCACAGCAGGGTCAAAAATGAACACCAGCCACCAGCCAATGATGGAAAGATTTGACCATTACAGGACAGCTCTCATTGACAATCAGCCAAATCTGGTAAACCTACTTAGACCCAAGATAATTGTGAGGGTGTTGCTTCCAGACCTATGTCGAGTGTTCAAGACTGCCTTGTATAGCTGCTAGGCTGAGCTCTTTTTGAGCTTGTCTTGGACACGTGACCATCTCTGAAAGTCTGCATCTTCTGGCTCGTTGGTCTAGGGGTATGATTCTCGCTTTGGGTGCGGGAGGTCCCGGGTTCAAATCCCGGATGAGCCCTCTCCCTTTCCTTGCAGAGTCGCTCAGATCAACTACTCAATAAAGCAAGGTGGTACAAGGTGAATTCCTGTTCACAAGGGCTTTCACACCATTTTGGACTCTTGCAGAATACATTTCAGTAAAGGTAATGGAAAACCACAGCAGGGTCAAAAATAAACACCAGCCACCAGCCAATGATGGAAAGATTTGACCATTACAGGACAGCTCTCATTGACAATCAGCCAAATCTGGTAAACCTACTTAGACCCATGTCCAACATAAGTGTATGGGCATGGGCTCTAGAGCTCGGTCGAGCCTGCCTGTATAGGTGCTCGTCTGATCTCTTTTTGAGCTTGTCGTGGACATGGGACCATCTTTGAAGTTCTGCATCATGTGGCTCGTTGGTCTAGAGGTATGATTCTCGCTTCGGGTGTGAGAGGTCCCGGGTTCAAATCCCGGACGAGCCCTCTCCCTCGTCCAAAGATGTGGATACAGGACAACCGCTCCATACAGGAACATAGTACAAGGTGAAACTGTGTTCCCAAGGTTATTTCCTGCTATTACAACTCTTTACAGAATACATTTCAGTAAGGTAAATCGGAAACTAAAACAGCGTCAAAAATAAACACCTGCCACCAGCCAATGATGGAAAGACATGTCCCATACCAGGACATGTCTCATTGAGAATCAGCCAGATCTACTTAGACCCAAGATAATTGGAGGAGCCCTCTCCCTTTCCTTGCATAGTCGCTCAGATCAACTACTCAATAAAGCAAGGTAGTACTAGGTGAATCCGTGGTCACAAGGGCATTTACAGCTTTTTGAACTCTTAGCTTTTTGAGAATCAGCCAAATCTGGTAAACCTACTTAGACCCATGTCCAAGAACATTTTGTGGGCGTCGCTTCCAGAGCTCTGTCCAGTGTTCAAGACTACCTGTATAGGTGCTAGGCTGAGGTCTTCTTGAGCTTGTCATGGACATGTGACCATCTCAAAAAATCTGCATCTTCTGGCTCGTTGGTCTAGGGGTATGATTCTCGCTTAGGGTGCGAGAGGTCCCGGGTTCAAATCCCGGACGAGCCCTTTCCCTTACCTTGCATAGTCGCTCAGTTCAACTACTCAATAAATCAAGGTAGTATTGGTGAAACTGTGTTCAAAAGGGCAATTCCTTCTTTTACAACTCTTTACAGAATACATTTCAATAAGGTTAATCGAAAACCAAAACAGGGTAAAAAATAAATACCTGCCACCAGCCTATGATGGAAAGATTTGACCATTATAGGACAGCTCTCATTGACAATCAGCCAAATCTGGTAAACCTACTTAGACCCAAGATAATTGTGAGGGCGTCGCTTCCAGACCTATGTCAAGTGTTCAAGACTGCCTTATATAGCTGCTAGGCTGAGCTCTTTTTGACCTTGTCTTGGACACGTGACCATCTCTAAAAGTCTGCATCTTCTGGCTCGTTGGTCTAGGGGTATGATTCTCGCTTTGGGTGCGAGAGGTCCCGGGTTCAAATCCCGGACGAGCCCTCTCCCTTTCCTTGCATAGTCGCTCAGATCAACTACTCAATAAAGCAAGGTGGTACAAGCTGAATTCCTGTTCACAAGGGCTTTCACACCATTTTGGACTCTTGCAGAATACATTTCAGTAAAGGTAATGGAAAACCACAGCAGGGTCAAAAATAAACACCAGCCACCAGCCAATGATGGAAAGATTTGACCATTACAGGACAACTCTCATTGACAATCAGCCAAATCTGGTAAACCTACTTAGACCCAAGTCCACCAGAAGTGTATGGGCATGGGCTCTAGAGCTCGGTCGAGCCTTCGAGACTGCCTGTATAGGTGCTCGTCTGAGCTCTTTTTGAGGTTGTCGTGGACATGGGACCATCTTTGAAACTCTGCATCGTGTGGCTCGTTGGTCTAGGGGTATGATTCTCGCTTAGGGTGCGAGAGGTCCCGGGTTCAAATCCCGGACGAGCCCTTTCCCTTACCTTGCATAGTCGCTCTGTTCAACTACTCAATAAATCAAGGTAGTACTAGGTGAAACTGTGTTCAAAAGGGCAATTCCTACTTTTATAACTCTTAGCTTTTTGAGAATCAGCCAAATCTGGCAAACCTACTTAGACCCATGTCCAAGAAAATTTTGTGGGCGTCGTTTCCAGAGCTCTGTCCAGTTTTCAAGACTACCTGTATAGGTGCTAGGCTGAGCTCTTTTTGAGCTTGTCTTGGACATGTGACGATCTCTAAAAGACTGCATCTTCTGGCTCGTTGGTCTAGTGGTATGATTCTCGCTTTGGGTGCGAGAGGTCCCGGGTTCGAATCCCCGACGACCCCTCTACCTTTCCTTGCAAAGTTGCTCAGATCTACTACTCAATAACGCAAGGTGGTACAAGGTGAATTCCTGTTCACAAGGGCTTTCACACCTTTTTGGACTCTTGCAGAATACATTTCAGTAAAGGTAATGGAAAACCACAGCAGGGTCAAAAATGAACACCAGCCACCAGCCAATGATGGAAAGATTTGACCATTACAGGACAGCTCTCATTGACAATCAGCCAAATCTGGTAAACCTACTTAGACCCATGATAATTGTGAGGGGCGTCGTCTTCCAGACCTATTGTCGAGTGTCAAGACTCGCCTTATATAGCTGCTAGGGCTGAGCTCTTTTTGAGCTTGTCTTGGACACGTGAACATCTCTAAAAGTCTGCATCTACTGGCTCGTTGGTCTAGGGTATGATTCTCGATTTGGAGTGCTGGAGATCCCTGGGTTCAAATCCCGGACAGAGCCTCTCCCTTTCCTTGCATGGTCGCTCAGATCATCTATCTCAATAAAGCAAGGTGGGTACAAGCCTTGAATTCCCTGTTCAAAAGGGCTTTCACACCATTTTGGACTCTTGCAGGAATACATTTCAAGTAAAGGTTATGGGAAAACCACCAGCAGGGTCAAAAATAAACACCAGCCACCAGCCAATGATGGAAAGATTTGACCATTACAGGACAACCTTCATTGACAATCAGCCAAATCTGGTAAACCTACTTAGACCCAAGTCCACCAGAAGTGTATGGGGCATGGGCTCTAGAGCTCGGTCGAAGCCTTCGAGACTGCCTGTATAGGTGGCTCGTCTGAGCTCTTTTTGAGGTGTCGTGGACATGGGACCATCTTTGATGTTCTGTATCGTGTGGCTCGTTGGTCTAGGGGTATGATTTCTCGCTTAGGGTGCGAGTGGTCCCGGGTGCAAATCCCGGGACGAGCCC